TCCTGAAAGATCTGAGCAGTGCATCCTGAAGGGAATGGAGCAGTGCACACACACAGGGCAGCAGCTGCACTGGATGGAGCTGGGAGTGTGCAGTGCTGGCTGTGACACCAGGATCTGCAGCAGAGTGCTCTTCCTCAGCTGCCTGGGCAATGTTCACATCTGCAAGTTTAGTGCATCCATATAAAATGTGCTTTCTTCTGCCCCCCATGCTGCACAGCTCTCATGCCAGTCCCACTCAGGTAGGGTGAAAAATATTCTAATATGTTTCTTGTCAGTTACAGATCTTAAGATTAGTCAGAAGGAGGGAGGTACCTGTGTTTTTGTTGTTTCTGCCACTAGTTAAACTATAACATTTTTGTGTAAATAAGCTTTGATTTCTCAGTGGCTCTGATGGTTATTTAAGCATAGTGAGAGTGGAGACCTGAGAACCACATTTCAGTGTCTGAAGGGAAGCTGGAGAGGGACTCTTCCTCAGAAGCTGTGGTGACAGGACAAAGAGTAATGGGTACAGGGCGAAAGAGGGAAAATGCAACACAGATTAGAAAGAATTATTTTACTGTGAGTGTGGTGAGGCACTGGAACAGGTTGCTCAGGGAGGTAATCTCAAAAAAGGAAACACAAGGTTGACTTGAGACTTTAGCAGCAGATCTGCATCATTCCACCAAATTGCTTAGACAGTTGGTTTAGTTTATATCCTATTGAATTGTGTGTGTGTAGGTGATTAACCAAGGGCTGTATAAAAGGTGGTTTGCTCTAACTAGTGGCCTTGGAAAATATTTAAAACTTTTAAAATCTTTACAGCCCAGTGTCAAAAAAAGGTTGATTTAAAGCATATAAGAGAAGTGTGTTCATGATAATTTTGTGTCCACCACAGAGCATCAAGCTCTCCTTGCTTGCCTTGTCCTAAAGTCCACCAGGAGTGAGATCTTCAAAGCTCTTCATGCAAACCCCACACACATCAACACTGGGAATAGGTGCCAGGCTCCAGGTACTGTACACACACTTCCTGCCCTATGTTATTTTATTTTCATCCTTTCATGATAACATATGAGAAAATCTTATAAAAATACTACATTTTGCTCCAGATTTAACTTTTTAAAGGTTTTTTCATTTCCCTCGCTTTTCAATGTATGTTTGAAACATCCTGTCTAGAAATTACCCAGTACTGCTGGTATTTCATTCTACTGAACTATTGTTTTCATTTTGAGAGTCGTCTTTTCCTTTCTTCTGAAATAAGACTTAGACTAAATACCAAAATTCTTTCACTGCATATTATGGCTGAGTGCACTAAAATATAAAAACCTTGATTTAAGGTTTTTTGAATTCAAAGATCGTAGGCAAGTGTTCATTTGAAGGTTCAGTGGCATTTTGAAATGAGAACATCATATATAAAGATGTCAGAGATGGAGCCTCCCACAGTGAGGTTGAAAGAAGAAGAACAGAATGAATAGAAGAGTTTCTGGGTTCCAAGGAATTTTAACATCTCATTACTTGAGATTACTGTACATATAATTTTCTAATATTTTGTATTATAGACTTTGAATGTATTGGTTAAAATTGCTTCATGCCTGGCATCAATTTAGTCTTATTCATTATCTCCCTTAAATAAAACCTTAAAAATAGCTGGTTTCAGTGAGTGAGCAATTTTCTGATACGTACAGATCCTTCAACATTTCTAAAGTGAACTTGTAAATGAAAACAGACTAGGAGGCAGCAGTCCCTCAGCATTTCTTGAGCAGCCTGGTATTACATGAATTCAAGTAGTTATAATTTTTTACTAAATTTATACTTTATCATTTGCACCATAGTTCATCTCCGATTTTCATAATCCTACAATTCATGCTCTTGCTTCCTAAACAATGCTGACTTTCATAGTCTAATGACAATGATTGTGATATTATTTTTGATGTATATGGTCACTACTTTGATCAGTGTTTGTATTTCTTTAGTAATCCAAAAAGGGGGATAGAGCTGTGATAGAACTGAGGTAGGCAGAATTTCTATATTTGCTCTAGCAGCTACCTTGATCCAGTGGTGGAACTGAGGTCATCAATGACCTCATCAGCCACACCTTGCCTTAAAATTCATGTCCATTTCTATTTTTCACTTCTATGACACAGCTGTAATCTGTCTTTAAGAAACTGAGATATCAAATGATGTTAAATGCCTGATTATATTCTTCAGTATCTCAAAATTTTAAAAAGTCCTATTAAAACATGTACCATATGCTTTCTATCTTTGTACCAGGGGTTTAAAACTGTAAAACTTGTGACCTTTAAAAGTAGAAAGCAACTTCCATGGCATTTCTAGATATCTAATTTAGGTAAATATTACATAAATTTATAAAGTTTTAGAGCTGGTTATCATATAATCCTATATCTAAAACATCTATTGAAAGTACCAAATAAATAAAAGCATGCATTAGAAAAATACATCCATCATTTACTGTGTAAATGAATACTTCTTGTATTTGAAAGAGCTTATAAAATAATTAGTTAAACCCAAGATTCCTCCCTTCTGTGAAATGAAGTGTTCCAGTTAGTTTAAATCACAATTTGTATTTCTTATGCTCTGGGGTTCTGTCCTAATGCTGGAGAGAAACCTTCTGTTCTAGATACACCAGAATACCACTCCATATCTTGCAAGACACTGCTTGGAGCTGAATGAAGAAGCAAAAGCAAGGAAGGAGGTCTAAGAAAATAGAGCTGCTTTCCATTTTCTTTCATGTCTGCTGGGGAAAACAGAGATGGTGTTCTGTGAAGGATCTAGCCAGAGTTCCCTGCTGCGAAGCACTGGAAGTAGCTTCCTAGAAGGTAATTATGTTGTGTCATGCCAAAGAGATTTTAAGAGCAGATTCAATAATGTCTGTCTTTGTGAGGAGTAGAGGTGAGATTCTCTCACTTTGCAAGTGGTTGAAGGTGGAGGTCCTTAGAAAGGGAGGGCCCTTTTGGCACAGGGAGAAAACTGGTGTCTGGTAATACCTGAGAAATTTTGAGAGTTGGTGTTAATCAGACTGTTCAAGAATATTTGGGAGGCCTTGCTCTGGCTGATCCTTCCAACTTTTCTGCCTGTTCTGATGCCTGCCTGGCTGCTTCAAATGCAGCCAATTTACAGTGGCACTAGTGTGAGATACCAGCCACACAGAGATCTTTTTCCTTTCCTCTTTCCTCTTTCCTCTTTCTTTTTTGCTCTTTCCCCTTTCCTTTTTCCTCCTCCTCTCCTGTTGGAAGCAGGGCTTGGGCAGAAGGGCTCTTTGCTTTCTCAGGTAAAAGGTGGGTCATAAAAAGAGTGACCTTCCTTCCAGCTCCTTGGGAAACACCACAGTGTCTGACTGGCCTCTGAGGAGAGTTCTGTCACCCAGGGATGTCCCATGGCTTGGGAAGAGGTGCAGCACAGCAAATGGAGCAGGCAGGGCAGGGCAGCATTCCCTCTGCCAGGGATGGAAACCTGTGCTCTGCAGGCGGAGGAGCTGTGCTGAGACCCCTCTGTACCTCTGCACCCTGCCACACCCAAGGCAAGAAAGGAGGCAATAGGAGCTTCCTATTTTCATTTTTTTGAAAATTCTGACAGAAAAATAAACAAAATAATATGATGCAAATGGATATATAATCTGAAATAGTGGGAAAGGACTGAAATAGTTAGTGAGTGGTTTAGTCTAAGAGAGGCCCACAAAAAACTCACACCTGGGCACAAAAAGCTGAGATAGCCACTCACATCAGTGCCAAGCTAATGAAAACATGCAACCTTTCCAAACTGGTAACATTTCAAAACCTTCTCCTGTCTTCAACTGTACTTTATGTCTTCTCCTCTACTAGCTTCTGAAATGAGTTTTGCTTGTTATTATAGGCAGCTTTGCCAGTTCTTACTATTTCATCATGAACTTCGAGGTATTTGATGCTTTATTTAAACCCTCAGCTCCCGCAAATGCAAAAAGAAATTTTTTTTAAGGTAAAACAAAACTTTCTAGGTCTCATGATTATGTAGGAAGCTTGAAAGTGTGATCCCAAAAATATACCTTAAGACTTAATCCCTGAACATTCAGAAGTCATCATGTGAATATAAAGAACCCAAGTATACTGGGGGTTTCAAATTCTTGTTTCTTTGATTTTTTTTCCTAGTCTCATGGATATTTAGTCTGTTTTCAGAATTTTGGGAAATCCAATTGATTCTTGGATTTTGATCTGTCAAAGATTGGAGCAGTGCATCTACTGAATGAAGGTAATAATATTTTTACTGGAGATTCAAGCCCTGGTGCAGAAAGGAGACAGGGACTTCTCCCTGGAGACTAATGGTAAGACATTTGACATCTCATGGCTATTGCTCTCCAGTTTATCAAGGAAAAAAAAAGGAAGCCAGAAAAGCAACTAAAATCCATATACCAATTGCTTCTTAAAACTTGCCATTTGCTTTATATGCCCTACAGTACTTTCTACTTAGACCATGTAGTAGGATCTCCTGTGCTTGACAAGAATGTGACAAAAAGTTTATTTGATGTTTTAAAATCTTGGGATTATTTGCTAAATGAAAAACATTTATATTTTTTGCAGAAATGTGAAAATGAGTAATAGAATCATTTACCATGACTGCATTTACATATTGATTCTCACAATAAGTCTTCTGACTTTATTATATTTCTCTTTTCCAACTTGCCTTTGTGACCTGGCCCATTCCTGAAAACTCTATTGCTATGTTTGGAGAGGACAGGAACAGAACCCAGACCTTCAGATTTCCTTTAAGCAAGTTACTTTTTCCATCCCTTTCCCTCATGAAAATAACTTTGAAGATCCTTACTGAAGCTAATTGAGAAGGTTGAAAGCTTGCCTCAGATTTTTCCCCCTCCTAAAGCTTATTCAGGAGCCTTCAAGGATTGGGCTTTAGGGTCTGTGGGCTGCTCAGATTGGAGGCCAAATCCTCAGAGGTGCTGAGCAGCTCCAGCTACAGACTTGGCTTCTTGTTAGCAGTGGCTTCCAGCAACATCTGCAGCTCCTGCAGGGATCAGGACTTAGTGGCTCTTTGCAAGTCCCAACAGGCATTCATTCATCCAGGCTGATACATTTTCATAGTTCAGTTTCACTTGCAGTAGGATGTTTTCCAAAGCCTGTCTAGTGTGCAGGAACTTTGCATATTGCTGAAGATCCTTGTGCAGCTGAGGGTTGTAAAGAATCAGGGTCTTACAGTCAGATAAACCTCCTGTTCTGTTTGCAGTCTGCACTTGGCAGTTCCCTTGCTTGGACAGGAATGTATTTTAGGGAACCTTAAGCTGAAATTATTTCCCAGTTTGCTGTCTTCTCTCCAGTAGTAAACACAGTTTCAGTTGGTGTTGCTGACAGTATGATCCAGGAGCCCTCCTCTCTCCTGTCCTTGTCACAATCACCTCTCCAAATGCTTTAGCCGTCACAATCTCAATGTCTTGAATTTATGCACTGAGGAAAGTGGGCTCCTAAAATTATGAATGTTGCTTTCAGTCTGCTTAGCATGTCATCTTACTGCCACAGAGAGTAAAATGTCTGTCCCTCAAATGATTTCTGCTGAGAAGCTTGATTCCAGTTTCTGTTTTCTGATCCACATCCAAATAGTCTCCTTTTTCTATCTCCTTCTTTTACTAAAGTCCATAAAGAGTTGCTAAAGCCAAGGATCAAATGTAGCAAATACAGCCATGAAAACCCTGTGATAGGCTGTTTCTGGTCACACGCTGGTATAAACTGGCAGTAACTGGTAATATCAATAATTACCTAAACTCACATCAAGCAGACTTGGAGAAGCAACATGCCATTTGTTACATAGAAGCTTACATAAAAAAGGTGATCTGAATACTAATAGGATAATATATTAAATTTATATCATGATTTTGGTGAGCATAACTCAAAGTTTTCTAAGCTGAATCATTAACTCTATTTTACAGATGAAGACATAAAGTTGAAGTGTGCTGCCCAGGTTCATGCTCCAGGTAAGTGGTTCAGCTCAGAACAGTCCAGTGAATTGTCTGGAGAGCTCTTTTGGCTCCATTATTATTTACCTTAGAAGTCTTCAAACAGTGAAATGAAAGAGAAGGGGACATGGGAGGAAATTAAACCATATAAAGACAACTAGTCAGCCAACTCTTCCTTCTCAAAAACACAAAATAAAAGTTTCATTCAATACCAACAAACCCAGATGTCACCAATTAAGAGCAAAAGTAGAAACAGACAATTCGGGCCTTTTGTTGTAGTTTTTAAAACTGGTTTTTCTATTGAAGCCCTACACATACATAGGATGCAGATCAGACTAATAATACACATTTCCAAATTCTAGTCTTTCTTTGTGATAGCACTCAGTTCTGTGTATGCCAAGGAAAATCTTAAATACAAATAAAAATGAGAGTACCAAATGACAAAATCCAATGCTAAAAAATTGTATAAACCATCAAATCATTTCCCATATCCCAATTTCCAATAATGGTGCTGTACAAAAAGAAATAAACAAGCTAAGAAATATTTCCACTCATTTGCAATGATACTTGACACTCAAGTGTTTTAGTCTTTTCAAAATATTAAGAGGTAATTAGGGGAGTATTTTTTTGTGTAAGGTCTTCATATGGTTATTTCCTTTCCCTCCTTGCAAATCTCCCCGAGTGCTGTTGTCTGTGACTTAGAAAAGCAGCATGCATGGGCTCTTTGGCTTTCTCTGCAAAGAGCTGGGCCTGAATGCAAAGAGCAGCTGCAAATGTAGCAGTGTTGGCCATTGCTGTGTAGGCTTGGGCTCTGACCTGGAAGCCGAACTCTGCTGCAGGCACGGAGTCTCCATGAAGAGCACACGGGGAGAGAAGATGCTTCACAGGAGCCCTGGATCTCCCTGGCACATGGAGTACCTTGGAGGAGTGTAAGGGCAGCCAGGAAAGTTCTGAGGTGAGGGCTGTGTGGTGCTGGCTCTGCTGGGCTGGTGATCCAAAGGAAAATTTATAGGGTGGGCTTGGAAATGTTGTTTTTCTGTGAAATTTGTCCCACAGCACAGCAAGGCCATGAGCTTCTCATTTGGGTAAGTGATGTAAATCTAGTCCTGGGGAAGGGGCACTGCCTTGGGGCATTCAGATCTAATGGAACACACACAGCACTGGTGTGGCAAAGCATGGCATTGAACATCCATTCACACATTCTACCCCTTGACTGGCATTGTGGAAGTGTTCACTCAGGGTCACCCTTCCTTTCCAAAAATAAACCTGGGACTGATTATAGATAGCTTTGCATCAGAATCATGTGAAACCCGTGGGTTTCAGCTCAGAGGAAACGTGGGAGGTTCTTGTTATGATTTTAAGTTCACTTGAATTTGAAACTCAGGATGAGACTTAGGGAGGGGAGAGCTGAACACAGATGGATCCACAGGAAAGAATACATCCAAACCAACCCTTGTGAAATGCAACTGCCAATGGTTTAGGCAGAAACCCTCACTCAAAACATTAAAACAAATCAAAACACATTACTGTCTCTTAAAATCTGACTCTTAATGCTACCAAATATCCTTTTTTCCATTCTAGGCAGTACCATTTTTTAGGGGAAAGAAACCAAAGCAGAAAAGAAAATGCGTAATATGTTGCCCAATGTAACATATCCCCACAGCAGCTCTAAAAAGCAGAGAAAAAGTATATTTTAATTAATTTATAAACAAAAGATTATTTCCTGCACTGCCAGCAAAAATCCTGTTTGCCGACAAGGTTCTGGCTTCAAACATTATCAGCAACTGGCAGGATGAGTCCTTTTATGTAAATGAATTCATTATTATTAATTTCTGCTGGTGCTGAACGATTTATGAACTGCTTTTCGAATATGGAAAAGTGGTTCATGAATCAGAGGGGAAAAAATGTTCAAAAAGTCCTGGGTCGATAAATAACAGTAGTCATTCATGAATCCCGCCCATGGTGTCTTTTATCTTCAGTAGGGAGAAGATCAAAATGATAAAATAGTAATGTGCCAACAAAAAAGGATTGAATGGGCAGAGACTGGTAACATTGTCCTCTCCGAGCCTTAATGGGCAGGGATGAATGGTGACAGACTATCCTTCACCAGCAGGCAGCCACAGACTGATTCTCCCAAGGTGAAGTGCTCCTTTTCCCTGCCACACAGAGCCAGGATAAGAGGGAGCTCCTGAGCAGAACCCCACGTGTGCCCCTGCCCCACAAACCCGCACAAGGTGTGGTCAAGGGATGGGGTTTTGCTTCTCAAAGAATACATTGTCTTGGTTTGGAAAGACAGGTGTCTGCTAAGGAGGGCAGGAACCTCCCCTGAAATGGAAAATGTAAACCCCCTCCCTCCAAACTATTATAATTTTGAAATTAAGGGGCTCTCAGGCAAAGATATGGGAGCAGGAATAACAGTTCTTTATTAGGGAAGAAAATAAAAAAGTAGAATAAACAATGCAGTAATACAAAGCAACACAGAATAACACTGCCAGAGTCAGCACATGCCCTGCCCCTGTGTGTCAGGGTGGTGGCACAGTCCCATCCCATGGGGGCTCCGCCCTCCTGCAGTCCCATCTGTGCTCCTGCTGCAGCAGGGATCCTGCACAAGGGGGGAGTTTTCCTCTGCAGCTCCAGGGCTGCTGGAGATGGGCCTGGGCTCCCTCTGGCAATGCAGGGCAGCAGAAAGCTGCTCCTCTGGCAATGCAGTGAGCAAAGGCTATTGTGGTGTCCCAAACCTCAGATTGGATCCAGGTAGGAATGCTTGGCTCCTCCCCTGGGCGGAGCATCTCCCCATGGGATGCTGTAATTGGATCAGCCATGCAGGGACACTCAGTGGCCATGGACAGAAGAGATCTCCTGGAAGGAGGATTGACTGTGGGAGAGACAAAGAAAACTGCACAAGGAACAGAAGATAATGCCCCACCTCTAACAGATGGTGACAGAATACACAGCCCCATTCTCACCCTAAGACAGCCCCCTGCCCTGGACGCTGGGATTGCCATCCCCCCCAACAGCCTGATGCTTCCCCAGTTTTCTTACACCTCATTACTGAGAGCTCTTGGAGCTGGCCCGGCACCCAGCTTTCCTCTGCAAGGGAGTGCAGCACCAGTGGGATTGTAAACTCTCATTCCACGATGAGGAGAGATGACAAGTACTTGATGGAAAGTGAGAAATATGGCAGCTGTTCACTCCTGTTCTCTGAGCACACCACCAGCCCTGAGCAGAGCAGGAGCCTTCAGGACAGCACAGTGCGTACAACAATTGATATTGGCCTCTCTCAGTGGAGATCTTTTCACCTGCATTTGAAGAAATCAGGCTGAAACTCAAAATATTGTGTGTACCTGGAGTGAGTTGTGGTCATAGAAGTGGTATTTTCTCCTTTAGATACTTCTCTGATATGCAGGTCGCCACAGAGAATTGGGCCAAATTTATGTCCAATGTAATTTCACTAAAATCACAAAGTTCTGCCCAGAATGAGTTTAGCTCATTGTTATTTCAATGCTAAATACAGGGCGAGTCTCATAAAAACAGAGTGGAGAAGGCCATAATAAAAATCTGTCCTCTAAGTAGCCTGTCTTTCTAGAGCTTTGATATACAAAGAAACTACAGCTACATATTGTGATTGTTTGCTCATAAATAGCTTTGCTCAGCTAAGAATTTCAAAGTCCTTTCAGGTTTTAGTCAAAACATCCTGTGAGGTGTGAGGTATAGGCACTGAAGGTGAGGTAAATGAAGGAAAAGCTACACTAGGTCTTTGGCAGACTCAGTAGTCAGTCTAGAATAACTGATGACTCTTCCTGTGCAACCAGTAGTCAAAAGTATCTTCCAGCAGAGGAAAATAAAATGACAGACTTGTAGCTGATTTTTAGCCTTGTTCTTATGTATAATTTGACCATTTTCTTAATTTCAGATTGCTACAGGACAAAATCTTGTGCTTCTGAGCTCTGCAATGAAGTTTTAATCACCCCAATATACATCTTTCCACGACATATATTTTTCTGTCCACCAAAGACATAATGGCTGCTCCTTTTATGGGAAACCAGGATTTAATCCAGTAAGTCTGTGAGAATCAATATTCTTGTGAAATGACACCATGTTGAAGTTATTTTATGTTATGTTGATGGTTAGCTAATTTTGTAATGGAGACATTTCTTCTAGAAGCAGACATAGTATAATTTAGTGGTAAAAACGTCAATCACAAGGGGTTGAACACTTATGTCAGGGCAGGAAGAGGGCAGATTTATTGATGGAAATGTATCTATATACTCTTTGTGGCACTCTGACCTGAAATATCCATTTTGGTTATAATTTTGTTTTGTGAAAATGACATCAACTGCAATCACTAATGTAAAAGTGACACTGGAATGCTTTGTTCCAGAGGCCTGATTTAAAAGTCTTGCTGCTGTTTGTTATAGTAACAGCTTCTCAATTGCAAGGAATTAAGGTACTCATTTAACTGCTCCTTTTCTCTTTCTGTAGGAAACCACACTGTTCTCTTTTTTTTCCCCCTACTGTTTAATATTGTTTAAATAATAAATATATAGCTTGTTTGGTAATGACATTGAGGTAACCAAGAGAAAGGAGGCAGGTGCTCTGTCTGGTACTATATGTGGATATGTTTTTGTATGGCTTTTCTTCCTAATGCCAGTTAACCACCCACCCAAAGCCATAAAAAACATCAATAAGAATAGGTAGAAGAGGATGGAATAAAATAAGTAGAGAGATTGGGAAAGGAACGTGGCAAGGAAGGAGGGAAAGAAAAAGCACAGTGCAGAATACAGGGAACATAGGAATGTCTCATTTGTGACTTCAGTGGTTTTTGTTTGTTTGTTGTTGTATTTTTTTACAAAACCCTCATCAATTAATTGGACTCTTTTTTGCAGATTTACAATAATGTAATTAAAAAAGAGAATCTGGCCAACCCTCAGCTTAGAGGATAGGAAAAAATCAGTAGGAGCAATGTGAATTTTACAGAGAAGCTGTGCTCTCCGGTGAAGCACTGGCTATTGTCTATTTTCTGCTGCACTATCCTCCCCCAAAAGAGTGTCTTGAACTAAGTAATATCATGACATCCTAATTAGTAACAGCTTAATCTCCAGGCTAGTCCTGAGAAATCTGCACTTTAGCGTAGTGTGATTCTAGCACAATTGAAATTTTAATTTGGTATAACTGAGGAGGGGGTGTTTTACCAGTAGCACACAATGAATTTGAGCTCCTCTCCCATCTCCTGCCCTTCCATTCTCACCCCTTGCATGACTATCACAAAGAGCTGACAGCTCACTTTTCTCTAACAATCACGTGTTTTCACAAAATCCATAATATGCTTTGTGAATCTTCATTCTTGGCTCCTTTTCAGGCAAACCAAATGACAGAATCTGAGACCATCCAATGTCCTGCTCTGGTGAGTCACAATGATTTTATCACTTAAATATAGAAACCATTAGAGTCTGGGGAGATCCACTTCCAGGGGGATTAGAAGTGGATTTTCTGCTATATTTAAAGGCCATGATCCCCAAAGATGCTTCCTTTGACTGGCATTAAAGACTTTTGAAAAGTTGATTCATTGGAGAGTCCTCAAACAAGCAAAATCTGCTTATTAGGAAATGTAGAGCTCTGCTCACATCACCCCTGCTAGGGATGGTGTGAGAAATCATAGGTACTCATACAACAGGATATTTGTTTGCACTCTATCAGGCACAGCCAGGCAGCTTCTCCATGTGGACTGGATGGGAAAGTATCTGATCCTCCCAAAAGTTAGGATTGCTGAACAGCCCCAGGGTGGTCACACATCTACACACTGAGGAAGAATCAAAATAAGACTGAAATTAGGTTCACTTTCACACTTTGCCAATCAGATCGTGGGTAGTTTGTGCTGCAGAGAAATGCTGACTGGCAAGAACAAACTCATTATTAAAACAAGAAAAATGTAGTTGATGTTTTGGGTATTTTGGTTCTATTTTGAAACAGAGTTTTTGTTGTTTTTTTCTTAACCCTAGACATTTTAGTTCTGTCCATTTGCATAGGTAATATTGCCATCATATTTATTCACACTGCTCATAAAAGAGCACATCACAAAAGTGCCTGGAAAATAAAACTCCAATGAGAAGGGACCCATCAAGTTTAAATGGAGGTTTATATTGCAGCATTATGAGGCAGAGGCTTGCACATTTGCAGCTCCCATGGCAGAAAGTGAAACTCTAAACAATTAAAGCAGCACAGACATCCTGCCCTAAAGGACTGTAAGCATTTAAAAAAGCAGCCATGACCTCTCTTTACTGGGCCTGTTTTCTATTTAATTTATGGTCTTTATTAGCCAAGAAAATCTTGGCTGGATCTTAGTCAAAGTGATGAATATACAAGCATTTTGATCTACAATTTGGGGCACTTCAAAGTATTCTTTACTTTATGATCATTTGTAATCAAGGTCAGAGCTCTGGTGGTAATTTAGATAGCACCTAAACATATTTATAATATAAAAATTGCTTTGCAGTAGCATGCACAGTGTCCTTTCTATTTTTGCTCACAGTAAGATCGGAGTTGCAACTGCTCAGGCTATCCAAAAGTTACTCCTACAAGTTTGTGTAAGCAGTTCCATGCCTAGGTTTCTTTCATTCAGTTCCCACAATGACACACAAAGTTTGAGTTTATATGTGTGACAAAAAAATTGGTTTGTTTTCAGTGGTTTATTTATTGAACTATAAGCCTTACTAACTTTTATGGAGAAAAAGTAAACCAAAATGGCACAAATGTTTAAAGAGGAGTTTTTGTTCTTTTTGTCATCTGTTTTTCTCACTTTTCCATATACTTTGCTCATGCCCTAAGGTATAGCAAGTTTCAGAAGTGTTTCCTTTTTTAAGTGCAGGAACTCTCATGCCAGCAGTGCCTTGCAAAACAAAAACTAAAGCTGTGATCACCCTTTTAGCACCATCATCTCAGGTTCTAGGCCTGCTTTTTTTCCAGATATTGTGTCTTTCTATACATTATGTCTGTCTACATATTTCTCTCTAGATTTATGCTTGCTAGGACAAACCATCTGATTTTTGTAGTTTGGAGTTTTGACAAGCACAGGCCAAAATTGAAGACTAGCACTGAGTCCCAGTTTCTCCAGCTTTAGCAGGCACACACCTTGCCCATTCTCTCTGACTCCACTGCAGGGGTCCATTTGCAATGTTCATATTTAATCCTTTCCCTCTTCCACTGTGCACCCTTTCATCAGCTCCTCCTTTTCTCTTGCAGCCAAAAACATCCTGTGGATATTTTAAGGCCCACCAAAGGCTCTCCCAAGACTGTTTTCCCCTATCACACCCATAAGGTACTGACAGATCAATGTGTATCCACCACTCACAAGATTTTTGTTTGAAATTTTGATTTATTAAATTTTGGACTGTAGTAATTTTGTTTTCTTCGGCAAGGGTCCACTGCTGTAAGAATCTACCAAGCTACTACACTTGCCCTTCTTCACATCCTCCCTTAAAACTCTCCTCTGCTGGGACACCTTAAAAAAATGATAGTGGTTAAGCAGCTGATGTGCTGTGACTGCATAGTGATCATAATTATCTCCCAGTTACCTTGTCATTTCTGCCCCTCTCCCCATCTGTTTGCTGTCACTTGTCTTTTGCCTGGATCAAAGCCTCTTTGGGGTACAGTCCCTGCCTGGAATTCCTGTGCATTTGGATACTGTCCTGAGAGAAGCAGCTCGGGTTCTAGGCACTACTGCAGTGCACAGAAATAAAAATCACTGTTCCTAAAGTAAAATCCTCTGCATTTTTATATGCATAAATTATAGCCACATCCTGTAATCCATTCTTTTAGGCTAAACAATTGATTCAATGGGATTTGAGCCAGGGCAGGAGTTGGCCTATAGTCTTTACTCAAAACAAGCAACATAACATATTATTAATCACCCTAAATAGAGACTATCACATTCCGTGTTGCAATCCTACCTGTGGATAAAATAAATACCTTTCCAGAAACCTTATGACTTTTCTCATTTACACTAGGCCAGGCTGCTCTTATGAAAACTATTGTTCTGCAGGGGATAACAAGATTGCAGTGACTCCCTAGTTGTATTCCCTTTATGTTGATTGCTTGGAAGCTGACGGAGGGTGGTGAATACCAGCAGAGTCAGTTGTTGGCCACCCTGTCTCTATATGCAAGGGGTCTAGAGGCAGTTCTTCCTTCCCATTCAAAGTTTTTATCTCCCACTAGGGCAACACAAAACTTCTAGGGGGCTGTAGTTTTAAATGTTATTCTGAATTTTGTTAATATCCTCAAATATATCTTTATCCATGCTGCAACTGCAGCCTGGAGGCTGCTGGTTGTAATTTACCCGTTTGGGGAATCAGTTTGGCCAGGAGAGGAGCTGGGGATGAAGCTCAAGCTCTTTGTACGTGCCTGCATCAGAAGGGCTGGTGGGAGAGGTGGTTCCAGGGGCCACTGTCTCCTGTGCAGCTCCTGAGGAAGGACAGCTGTGTGCTTCCTCCTGTGGAACTTGGAAGAGCAGCAAAGGAGAGGAAAGCCAAAGCCAAAAATAAAAACATGCGCAAAAGCAATGAGTAAAACCTGCCAGATTCAGGGAGCTGTTTACTGCTGGAGACCAGCCAGGAATCTGTGGAAGTCCCCTATTAATGCAGGGCTTGGTTGCAATTGCTCCCCCCACACCCCAGCCCTTCCTTCCCCAGGTGAATTTTGTCTTACATGTATAACACAGACTGAAAAAAAGCACACCATTTTTTCCCCCCCGCAGTATAATGTTTATTCTACAGGCTTTCTGCCTGAAAATGTTTTTCTCCTCTCTTCTCTTGCAAATTTTGGGGCTTCCTAAGTTGCTGATGTGTGAAAGTGAGACAAGTCTCAACATACTCAGTAAATCCAGCCTGTGTATGCTTACCTTCCACTCAAATTGATTGTTATTCTAACAAAGTGTTAATCTTAAATAAATGTTCATAGATCAGGTTGCTTTCCTCTTTCTGCCAATGTTTGGGTCATTAGATGCAGGGCTGTAAATGAACCATGCAGATAAGACCTAATGTTAAATATCTAGGACTTTATAAAGGAAAAGAGGCAAGGATAAGGATAAGGATCTCCTTGCTTGAGACAGCTATTGACTTTCTAGCACTGGTGAGGAACCTTCTGAAGCATTTTCTGTGTGCCATCATCAGGAACAAGGTGCTGAATTAGGAACACACTTGAACCTGGTCTGATCCAAACCCCCCAATTTCCACTGGCACAAGGAAACTGTTCGTAGCAAAATTAGTCCAGTGGAATATGGAAACAGAAGTAAATTCCAGGTTCCTCCCCAGCCTTTTACAAAAGGACATGGCATGTTTTCTCTAGAAAAGGGATTTGGGTTTTGTGGTGTTGGTTTTCCCTCAAAGGACATAGGAATTGCATAATTTTATACTGAATTCTGCTTTTACTGAATTTCAATAATTAGTTTCTATATTCATATATTGTAGGGCTTCTTTAGTCAATTCTTTCTGTATTATTGGGGAGAAATTTATCTTAATATTTTGTGTGGAATATTATGGTAGATCTAAAAATTGCCTATTCTTCCTATTTGGGAAAAGCATGTAGTACTGAGTAGATAAAGCAAAACTTCATATTTATTTTAGATAATTTAGGCTCTAATTATACAAAAGTGATGTGAGAAAGATACACAGAATCTGACCCAGAATTATGACTAGAAAATAATAATATCATCCTAATTAAAAACCATATAAGAGTTTATTATCCAGCCTCAAATCCCTGACAGACTTGTATGCTCAAATAATCGCAGCATTTGCAGGCTAAAGATTTTGTAAAAGTTTCATGGAAAAAAAAATCCCTAATGAATTCTCGGTGTTTTTTAATATTGTGCCTCTTCAGCAACAATGATGGCTTTTGGGGACTCTTGCTCACTTATGGGACATGTGGGTCATTCGAAAGCTTGAATATTCATTATGAGATGAGCTGGAACTGGATGTGCAATATGTTTGGTAGAAAACTAAATTTTATGTAAATTCTACAGTGATGTTTTCTGGCTCAGTTAGAATCCATTCTACTGTTTATCTTTATACTAATAATGGTCTCTTGGGCTTCTTTTTAAGCCTCTCTGTATACTTTTTTTTATTTTAAAATGAAAGATGAAGATCCAAAGAAAACAATTTTTAAAGATAGAAATAGAAACACTAGGTAAAAGGAATTAGCAATGCAATCTCTGCATATATTATGTGGAAATCTACTGCAAAATTGCAGCTTCGAATTTTATTCCTAGGAAATTAACTGTTTCATGTTTGAGCAGCATTTCTGCTCTGATTTCCCATTTTTTCAAAGCCCCTTTAGATCTGTTTTTTTCATCTATTTCTGGATATATTTGTAATATTTATTAAAATATTCCTTCTCCAGAATGATAAATCCAGTTGTCTGGAAGAAATAAAATCTGTGGCATAGCTCTGAAATGAGAATTAACCTTGATTACTACAGTAATTTACTAATCAAAACTGGAGACCTGCTAATCAAGCCTGAATTACCAGCTGCTTGATTTTTATAGTGACATAACCAAAACTGAACATTTGGTAAACAAGAATCTTATTTATGAGGGGGGGAAAATTGGCATATGGCCATATTCATCTTAATATATTCCTCACTATATTGTTGCGATTTCCTTATCAGCTGATGTGCTTCTAACTTAAGCTATCCACCTAACCCCAAAATGATGAGCCCTGAATTTTTGATTACCCTGGAATCACAACTATATTGTTGTGATTTCCTTATCAGCTGATGTATTTAAGCCATCCACCTAACCCAAAATGATGAGCCCTGAATTTTTGATTACCTTGGAATCACAACTATATTGTTATGATTTCCTTATCAGCTGATGTATTTAAGCCATCCACCTAATCCCAAAATGATGAGCCCTGAATTTTTGATGGCCCTGGAACTGGAGTCAGAGAAGCCAATTTCACATTTGAAGAGATTTTCTGATCTACCTGTTGTTCTTGGACCTTGGGAGGGGAATGGCTGATCCATCAGAGCGGCAGAGGTTACAGGGCTGGGCAGAGAGCACCTGGGAATGAAGGGAGCAGAGCTCAAGGAGAGGATGGCAGAAGTGCAGTGAGAAACTGCAGGAGGAAATGCAAAGAGGGACCAGCCCAGGGGAGATGTGGCACTGAATCATCCAGAGAGGAACCCCTTGTGAGAGAGCATCCCTCGTGGAAATGGACAAAGCACCAATTACTGCAGCCTGTCTGAGTGGCTGGGGTTGTGAAAGTATTCAGCTGGTTGCCTTAAGTGTAACTAATTTCATGGTTTTAATTTTTTTTTTTTTCCGGTCTGATTTCTGTTCATTTTTTCAGCTCCCAGATGGCATCCTGTATCCACCGACACAGAAAATAATTTCCCAGTATTTTCTTTAATGAATGACCTATTATGAACAAGCAGGAAAAACCCATATTGTGCAATTCTTCCACAGGAAAAGTGATCATTAATATAAATGGAGAGAAGCCCCCAAAATGGGAATCTTTTTTGTTGTTTGAGCTGCATATGGTATTTCATTAAGGTGGCTTGTGTAGGTTTTTTTTTTAATGTCTTGTTCAATTGATATTGTCATGGGTAATTGTGCTGTTTAAAAGGTAAAGAACAGAAACACAAAAAGATTATTTCTAGAATAATGTTTACAGTGTGAAATTCTCAGCTAGTCAGGCTCTTTCCCTTTCTCTGCTTGTTACTTTAGACCTAATCCCCCATTCTCTCAATTCTTAGCATAGAAAATATGTACTAAAGCTGGTACTGCTTCCATTTTTTCACCACCTTATCTCACAAACCTGAAATAATATTTTTCCATATAAGTCTTAATGTACTTGCACCTAACAGGAATGAAGGGGCACAGGGATGAATTAAAATGTGTTCAGTGGTTTATAGCCAGTCTAAACCTCAAAGAACACCAGTTTGTGTTTAGCCATGATCCTGCAAAGCTTCCAGGGGCCACAGCTCAGCAAGGGCCAGGCTCTCCTGCAGCAAGTACAGCCCAAATCAGAGCAGCAAAATCCTGCTGGGATCCACAGACAAACAGAGGGGGTTTAAGAACCAGGAAAACCACAAGTTAAGAGTACTATTCCTAATATTGTGTAGTCTTGGCAGGAGGGATACCCATGAGGATAAATATTCCAGATTTCAGGAATGGATTCTCAGGCAGTGATTTAGAGTATTTAAAGGCCAAGGAAACAAGAGAGAAATAAGTGGCTTAGAGTTAAGCAAGGGGGGATTTTTGCCCCTGACCACTGGAACAGGACTCTGCTCCACTCCAGTTCACATCCCTGAAGCCACAGCTGTGCCGCCAGAAACTTCCATCAGAAGTGCTCAGCATTGCCTCACATGTTTAGGATGAGCTCCCTCCACCATCAAAACTTCAGATGCCCAAAAATCCACCTGGAAATCTGGATCATTTCAGACTGCACTAGGACATAACACAGAGGACATGAAGTCACTGAGGAAGGAGTAATTGCAAGGAGGGACTGATGAGTATAGAGGAAGGCCAGCAAAAGGGTACAAAACAACAAGGCCGAAAAACTGGTAAGAGAAAGAGAAAATGGTTAAGTGACACCATAATGCTTTACTGGCTCTAAAGCAAGGGAAAATTATTAAAGCATTCATTTATTCTATTTCAGCCAAAGAAAAAACATAGGGCATAAAAAGAGAAGAAAAAAAAGTACAGAATGTAGAACATGTGAAGAAAAAAGGCAGCAAAGGAAGAGGAAATGAAGAGAGAGGAGAAACAAGTGCTGGAAGTAGAGGAGTGGATGGTGGGGGAGGAGGCAGCACAAAGAGATCTGATGAACAGGGCTTTTAGGTAAGTGAATTTTATTTGTATGTGTCATTTCCTACTTTTTATTGCATTTCTTTGGCAACCATCCCACAGTTCCATAACCTATGGGTGGGTGGGAGGAGGTGGCTAAGAGGGCAGAATGGTAGTTTTTGGCAGAATATTGACATGCCTCGAGTCAGGTCATTACTTGTGGTTGTCATTAGACAAATAGTGAAAGTGGGCTAATGGGGCAGGTGTTTATGAATCCTAGAGGCCAGAGGAGGCTCAGTTTTCACAACCTGACTCACACAGAAAGGGAGAGGCCCAAATTATTCAATGCAGTGAAAGCAGAGGGGAGCGGTGATTTCAGCACTGCAGAGGCCACAGGGACCCATTTCAGATTTACAGGATGGGTCTGTCAGGCTGCTTCAGCCTCCCAGCCCCTTTGGAGGGTGGGCACTGCATAGGCTTCTGTACTGGGGGGCTTCCTTTCTTGCAATCATTGGATGGAAAATATTTTTTCTGGAGTGCAAAATGAGTAATGCAACATTTGACTCTGACACACAAATCTATGGCAAAATATGACTTTCATAAAAAATGTTCTGAACTCCATCTTTTCTGGATGCTTTTGTTTCTTTTTGCCCTCTGTTTGACTCTTTACAGGCTTTTCCCCCTAATTATCTTGAATTTCAAATGGAAACATTTCTAAAACATACAGTGTCAAATAAAATGAGTTCGGATTTTTGAAGACTTTAGAACACACGCAGTAGCTGCCACCCCGAGTCAGAAAAAATATCCAGTGCTTTCCCTCTGAGAGTGAGAAGAGCAAATGTCTGGGGAAAAAGTGTATGAACTCTGATATATCTCTCATGCAGAGCAATCCTTCTTCCCCTGTGTGCTCCTGCCCTCTGAGGATCAGTGTCAGAGACATTTTGATTTGGAGGCTGGATCTTGATCATCATGTTTAGTAGCTAGTGATGGATTTCATTTGCATGATTTCATGTAATCCCTTTTATGGTCCATTTACACTTTTGACCTCCACACCATCCTGTGGCCATGAGTTCTGTAATTTCATTACGCACTGTGGGGATAAAATACTTCTTTTGTTTGTTTTAAGACTGATGCCTGGTCATTTAATAGAGGCTCCTAGTCCCTGCATTTGTGGGAACTGTTAAATGATGTCTCTTTATGTTAAAAATCAGGTTTTTTAAATAAAAAAACCTCTTTCAATTTTAAAGCCTTGTGATCAGACAAGATCCTCCCTCCTCTTGTGAATCCTTCTGTGAAAAAAAGGAAAAATTCCCAACTACAACTGCAACCTGATGAAATTAAAATTAATTAAAGCAGAAGTAGTTTTACAATGTTCACACTGCACAGATAAGTATCCTTAGTCTTATTTTATATGTCTGGTATGGTTTCCATCCCTTTCACATCATAGTGCTGGTTTCAGTTCTGTGAGAGGTGGAACAGCCCATTTTAGGGCCATTCTTTGTGGCACAACTATTAAATCACAAGCATAGTAATGGGAGAATATGTTCCCTGAGATCTCTGCACCAACAAGAGGGAGAAAGGTTTGGGAAGTCCACTAAAAATAGGAGTAGGCTTGTACAAGACAACTGAGCATGGTCAGACAGCAGCCTACAGTGGGGTGGACCAGGGTGTGAATTTTGCAGTTTGCATTTTCTTGCAGCTGTAGTTGTCCTGCATCCTCCGTGCAGCACTCCAGCCCTGTGCTTTGTGCACCATTCCAGTCAGATTGCTGGGGAGAGAGACAAAGGATAAAATCAAAACTGCTCTGGAAATGCACTGTACATGGCAGTGTTGGGCACAGTGGTGAGAGGTTTAAAAAAAAGAGTTTGACTCTAACCCAAGAATCAAAATTAATGTCAGAGAATTTAATGCAACACAAGGTGTGATGGAACAAAGACTGTTGGGGGGTCTCATTTTGTTCAGTTATGACAAGCATTTTTCAGCACTTTAAAAGAAACAACAGCGTAATGGTTTTCACTGAATTGTATGAAAAAACAGGATAACTTTAACAAATATCACAAAACATGTCACAAATCAATTGTATTGAAAATATATTAGGTTTCTTTAAAAGACAAGATCAGAAAAGGAAGCAGCACAAGCAGGAGGAGAGACAGCACACAAAGATTTACTTCTGAGTGCTACAAAATATTGAACTAAAAATAACATTAAAGATGAAATTTGCAATGAATCTCAAGCTGCTAAATTCCCAAAGGCTGGGTCTGCCAAAGGCTCTGTTGGTTTCCTCTGTTCTTTTCTGTCTTTATTTAAATATTTTATACAGTTGTCTATGTTCATGTGTAGTGCGAACTGTCATTTATATTTCAGTCCACTCTAAAATGGATCTTAGACTATCTCAAGCTGTGCACTGCAGCCAGGAGTTGGGAGCTGAGAGGTAAGTTGAAGTGGTAGGGACAAATGAAGACTGATATTTAATGTAGTTTTTGTGTACTTATATTTTGCTGTCATGTATTTTGCCTTAAAACTGATTTGTAATTTTCTGCATTTTGTGACATTATGATAAGATGTGGGGATTCCATTTAGCAAATACATTGATGCATTTTTGAGTTGGAGTGGTTGAATTCTGGATTCTGACCTAAGGCTTTCATGTCTAGCAATAACAACATGCAAGCTTAAATCTGCAGTCTTAAATGCTTCTCTTTGTTCCTTGGACTTGCCAAGGTAACCTTTTTAAAGCAAGACAGGCTTAAGGTTTTTTAGATTCACTTGTGTGATAGGCCCAGGGGTGCTGAGTGTCCTCACTCTCCACTGTCACAGGGATACAGGGAAAACTGGGACTTGCTGTGGAGCTGGATCCACACCCTGGGAGAGACTCTCTCACCCTTCTGGGGCTGGGGGAGGAAGCAGAGGAGCTGTTCCATGCCCACACAGACAAATTGCAGCCCTGGGGCACATCCAGAGCTCCCCAATTGCTGCCTGCAGGGCTGGGGACTGCCAGCAGGGCAGGGCTGGCACCGACCCTGCCCATCCCCTGGGGCTGCTGCTGCTGCATCCCCACCTGAGCTCAGGCCTCTTGCTGGTGCACTCTGCTATCTGATAGATTTGCTAAGTAAAGATCAGATATATTAAGGTGGGATTTTTCACTTGTTTTACACCAATTTAGTGGTGTTGGACTCTGTCAGCTGGTACAAAAGAAAGGATATTTAATAAATGATGTTGCTTTCTTGCTTCTGTAAATCATACAGAATAAAAAGTTTAAATACTGGCTATTAGATTAGGAAGTCTAAGAAGCTTTTACTACTTAGGAGCTTTGACTATTAAAAATTGATAAATTGCCATTGAAATACAAGCAGCTCTGCAATATGATAGATCAAAGTTCATTTTTTTCCCTAATGCAGTGTTAAGATGAGCAGGCTTACTTTTTGCTCATCTTCATTGCAGATCAAAAACATTCCTTTCTTTTTATTTGAGTGATCAATTTACTGGAAGAGCCCAATGTATATGTTGTGACTGCAGTAAAGTTCTTATTCACAAGCCTTTAAGTAGTAATACAGCTTGCTGGCACTGTGCAAACCTCAAGACATCTCAGCTCTGCTGTCCAGAGTGGATAGTGTGTCTCCTCCACATAATACAGGTGCAAATTGATTAGTTATAGCTTGTGAAGTGATATTTCTTAAAATATTTTGACCATGTTATTAAAAAGCTAACTCTTTTCAGTAGTGCTTCTACATCAAGTTAGCAGAAAGACTTCAGAATGTTGTGTTTCAGTGGACAGTACTCAAACCACTAAAATGTAAACCTTGGAAAGACTCTTTGCTAGTGGCTTTTTAGAAATCTATTAATTGCATGTCAGTGTAGCTCTATGGGTTTTTCTTTTTTGTGTATCAAATATCTTTGTTACTTTCTAAGCATCTATAAATCTACTCAGTGGCAATTTGTATATGTAATGAACATGCAACATTAAACACTTTCAAGGGCAGCAAATATGATCACATCCTTCAGAAAATATTTCTAAAATGTGTGATTTCCAACCCACTAACTTACTTGAAAGTTGTGTAAAAGCTGCAGTTGATAACAAGGTCTTGTGTATCTGGATCTTTGGGTAAACACTGTCTGCCAGCATAGCTGGAGGAGACAGACATTTCCATTTTTAAGATAGTTCTGTAAAGAAAATCCTTCTGTGGGTGTCCACACTTGGCAGCTGATCTCAGGTCTGACACAGTGTGCACACACTGCCTCAGCTCTCATCATCCCAGGAGGAGAAAAACCCTGCATGTGGCCCCAGAAAGGTTCAATCCTGCAAAGCACTTAAGCACAAAATTAGTTTTAAACTTAAGGGACAATATATAAGTTAAATGCAGACTTTGCTAAAAGATGCAGGATGAAATGCATATATTCCAGAAGGAGAGATATAATGAGTGAAAATAAATAGTATGGGAAAGCATCTTTATAGATAACTGGGGAGGTAATGAAGGAATGCTTCGATTTCAGTTCAAGGAAAACTCAAATTTACTGCATTTTATTTCACATTAATCCTTCAGTCGTCTGCCACAGTTTGTGTCTGGCCATGAAATTTTCATCTGTGTGGTGTTATTCTTTGGCACGTAAAGATGTACAGTCTCTGAGCCTGATTTGGCTCATCTTGGTGTTGATGACAGAAATTCCAATTTTGCTCTCAAAGGGCATGATTGAACCAGTTAACATTTATTTCAGCCTTGCAGAAGGACATATTGCTTCTTTTACATATAAAGGATGCCAAAATAAGATTAAGAGACTTGATGAACATTGCACAGTAAGTCAGAGGCTCACAGTCATAGCACTAAGGATTCCTTCCTTCCTGACTCTCACTTCCTTGTTTTATTCTGTACTTTTGGTAATGTGTCTGCATTCCCACAGCAATATTCTTCTGGCACATGATAATGCAATAGCTTTGAAATATGCTTTTCATGTGATGTGTGAAAACATAAAATCTATAGATGTGCAGTATACATGGATAAAAGAATTCATATTACAATATGTAGCTACAAGCATAATAAATGGAAATTGATGAAAAGAGAATCTTTCTACTGCTGGGATTTTAAAGAATTAGACAAATGTGTGTAGTTCAAATAAGACAGAATTTCTGCTTCTTGTCACAGAAAGAGCGATGAACATGTATCAGAAGAGAAATCAGCTGCTGCTTGGTAAGTACCCTATGATTTTTTTTGACTGCTGCCTTTTGGGCCCTACCAAGTCCTGTACTTACTGTGCTGAACAGGCTTCTGGCTCCTTTTTTGTCATTACATCATCAAAAAGACAGTCTTTCTTAGAAAAACTAAAGCTGTGCCAATGCAATCCCATCTCTTCAGAAATACTTTTATTAATTCATTTACATTGCAAGACAATTCTTGGTCCGGTCTTTTCATGTTGGAGGCAGAGGAGATTCCCAGAGCAGTGACACTGAATGCTGTTTTACTCTTAGTTTTGTGGGCAGTCATTGGGTAGTGCAATATTAGGTGAAGCAAATCTTTTGATCTCTATATTTATGCTAAGTGGTTTTCATTCTTATTGTTTTAAGAGTGGTAGCAGTAGTTATAGCAGAGTTATTATTGGCAGTGCCTGTGTCCAAAGAGCTCATTAAAGGACAGCACTCTGGAGATGCTGCCCTATCTGCTGGAACCAGCAGGACACAGGAGCTGTGTCCCATATGATGAATAACAAAAGAAAGGGTAGTTTACATTCTTTGATACATTTCTGCTCGATTAACCCCCAGTGGGATTTTTACCCCTCCAGTCACATTTTTTTGTTCCTCTAATCTTCTTTTGTATTTGCTCAGTGACCCCAAGCATGTATTTGACTTGTGACCCTATTTCTGTTAATAAAATACAGGCCATCTGACCAGCATTCACACCACCCCACTACAAGGTGATGATTACCTCATTGTAAGTGCTGGGAGTTAGCAACTCACAGGGTGAGGCTGGAGGTTGGGTGGCCTGAAGATAAGATAAGATAACCAATGAAGGCAGCACAAGCAGTTCTGAGCTGTGCCTTCAAAACCAAACTGCAGAACTCCTTCAAAATATCCAATTCTACCCACAGAACTGCAGATCTCCTTATGTATTGTTCAGCTATTAATTAGTTGATAATGTTTAGGGGATTATGGCATGACAAAAAACAATTATAGCTATAATGTGGAAATTTTCAGTATTTGTATGGGTGGTAGCTTATAAAATCAAAATTATCCCATTTCCATTTTGGGTTATCAATTATAATCATATGCCTCATGAAAAAAAAAATGCATCAGCACTCAGTGGCAATAATTTCAGTATAGTGTTTTGAGGCTAAATTAATGCTGGAAAGTACAGGTGATCTCTTTCTAAACAAAGTAATATTTGTTTTTAAAGCACCAGCAGAAATGTTGGGTGTTTTTTTCTAAGAAAAGGCATAGTAATGAACTTATTCATGCTTTCACCAAATCCTTAGAGCATGAGTCCTATGAGAGGCACTGTTAATTGTGTGTTACATGAAAAAATCATGCCAAAGCCATTTATCAGATATGTAATCTGTGTCTGTGTTTTGTGACAGGAAGCCATTATTTCCCCTGAAAAAACAAATCCGTTAAATTTGAACTATTAAATTACAGCAGGGTTAGGGCTGCTTCTGTGCTGTACAGTCACATCAGGGTCACAGCCCGGTTCTAGAGATGTACTGCAAGAGCTTCATATCTGATTAAGACAAAAAACTGATAAAAATGTAATGCAGACTAACAATATGGAATTATCTGATGTAGTTTGGGGGGATAGGGGCAGGGGGTATAACATCATTCAGTTTATTTGCATATGTTTGTTCTTTCTGCTGAAATCAATCTCTTTGAAGGAAACAAGAAAACTTTAGAAAAAGAAAATATTATTAATGCTGGTAAGAGAACACAGAAGAAAATCTTTAGTAAACATTTCTTTTCCAGTGTTGATTATCATTCTGTCTAATGTTTATTTTCATAGTTTTCTTTGATCCAAACACAAATAACAATAAAGTTAGCTTCATTTCTTTGAACTAACAAAACTACACTGCGGCCAAATTTGGAGCAAATTTTTAAGTGGCGTTTTTGTTTTTCTTCAAAGCCACATAGGAGATTTATAGAGTAGATATTTGCATAGCTCACACCCTCTCCTGTAAAGGAATGTTTCTATGGCCAGCAGTGATTTACCTGCTCTGGGCCCCCCTTGTGTGTCCTGGAAGGCTGAGGGCACACTCTGTATGCCAGTGCAGGAGCACCAGGGCTGGGTCAGGGCTCATCCCCTGCCCTGTGAAAGTTGCTGCAGTTTGTGGGGACTCTCTGTGGCTCTGTGGGGCTGGATCATGGGTGTAAAGAGTCATTCCACCCTGCCTGCATCCCTATCCCAGCCTCCAACCCAGCCAGAGCCCTGCCCATGGGCACCTCAGCTCAAGGTTCCACCTTCAGCAGCTGCTCCCATCAGACTCTGACAGATGATTGTGTGCTGTAGGCTTGGAAACAACCACATTCCTAATGTAAATATTGTGCAATTGCAAAATATGTACTGCAGTGTTTACCACAGTGCTTGAAACCCGGCCTGCTTTGCTGGGGGTGTTCTAGTCTGTGCATATTTAAAAGCTCTGCCAAATCACAGATCTGCTCAGGAGACCTGGCAGCACCTGCTGAGGCAATGGTGGATCTGTATCTGTGATGGGAAGCATCTCTGCCACCCTCAGATGACAGCCAGCATGTATTCTGGCTGTTCTGTGCAGCTCCCCTGCATGCAAATATTGGCCCTGAAAGTGGTGGAAGTTATGAAAAAAGAGCACAAGGTCCAGCCTCAGTCAATCAGCTACAGGAGAGTCATTTGCTGGATAAACTGACTGCTTTAAGTTTTCTCAGGACATGGTACAGAAACATGAGAGATGCTCAGGTTCTCTAAAATTCACTATTCTTTTGCTCTCCCATCACATCCCTGTGTTTGTCCCACTGCTTAGCCTGGCTGAGCAAGGGCATCCAGTCCAATGATTGATTGTCTCTGTGAGCAGATCCAAATTTCACTCTTAAATCAGCCAGCATGTGGTTGATGACAGGGACAAAGCCAGCCCTCATCACTCCCTAAGCAAATCATCTCCCTCTTTACTGTAAATTCCACCAAATTAAGATTTCACCATTGAAAGAAGTGTCAGAATTTCCACCAGGTTCACAAGGATTAGGATTTGGTCATTGACTTCTAAGTGCAAATGGCTTCTTAAAGGGCTACTTTTAACTAAGTAGATGTTTAAGTGATTCAAGACATTATAAAAATAATAGCAAATGCAAATAACATGACTTCAAGTATTGCTAAAAAGTGTTATTAGAAAATGGGTGGTTTTAAGATTAATTCAGAACTAATTCCAATGACTGCAGGTGACTCATACTTGAGTAAGAATGAAAATTTGGGTTTTGAACTATGCAGAAGAGTTTTGGCTGAACCTTTTAAATTTCTTTGTGCAGGGGGCAAGGTGAAGTGGGCATGTTAGTTGGGAGTTTTGGTTTCTTTAATACTTATAAAAATGCCAAATAGAAAACAGTTGTTAACTTATGTAGTTTGTTCCAGTCAAAATAAAGTGCTTCTGGTCCTAGAGGAAGGAGCCCTGAAATGGCACCTAAAGGTCCTGCCTGAATGTGCACAGCCCTTCCCTTTAAAAGATCATCTCCACTAAAAGCACAACCAAGAAACTTAGTTTCCTTTTTTTTTCTTTCTCACACTATGAAAACAGGAGTAGCAGAGCTGATACTTCAGTTGATGTGCAGTTCACTCCATATGAATACAGTCAGGAATGTGGGACTGAAAACACTTCACACATCCAGGCTCTGTTTCCTTCCTGGCAGAGGTAGCAAAGGTACAAAGCCCAGAATGAGTCCTCAGCAACATCCACTGAAGATGTCCCAAGGAACAAAGCTAGAAAAGCTAGAGAGCTCCAGGACACCCATCTCTTGATGGAAGAGTGGGAAGCAGCTCACTTCCAAAGTGCATTAGCTTTACATTTTTACTCAGTGTTAAGTAAAGAATACACAGAAGTGCTGACTGCTAGAAAAAGCTCTTGCCATTTCTTGCTGTGGAAGGGAACAGGGCTTTGGCATGGAGAAGCAGAGTCCCCTGCATTCTGCCATCCCTGAGGCTGTTGGACAATTCAGAGCTAAGCACAAAATCGTGCTCAGTGCTCTTCCTTCCTCCCTTTTTGGAAAAAAAAAAAGTTTCTACCCTGCATTTCTGCAAGGATGAACAGAAATCTTTGCAGATGGGTGTAGAAACATCTGCCTGAGCCTGCAGAAGCCTGAAACAGCAGCAGTGAGGGGTTTCATGCTTGGAAACTCAAGAGGATTGGCTATGCCAGGGCCAAAACCTCAGCATGTGTTACAGCTCAAAATAAATGAGAGTCCATGTACAAATAAATAGTGTATAGCTTGCTGTAGTGGTGGCTCCATTTTGGAAAGGTTGTGTTTGGTTTTTAATATTCAGCTACATCATATTTAATGTTCTATTCTTTCTAAATTCAATTAACACAAAATATTTGCAGTTTTTGTGAGAGGAAGCTTTGCCACTGATGCCCCAGGCTGAGGTGGGCGCAAAGCTTTTGTGGTGCCTGGCAAAGGATGTGGGTGATGTCCTGGCCCAGATAATTGATGTAGAATATCTGTCTTGAAAATTGCTCCTCAAAATGTAGCACCACTGTGCTCTTCACATCTAGGGACTGAAACAGGAGTTGTGCCTCAAAACCCTTGTGTTGTATGGTCCCATGGTGATTCCTCTTCCTTTATCTCCAGAAATTTTCCTGTGCTGAGTCTGGTCTCTCCCTTCTGCTCAGCAGGGGTGGGTTTGTTCTTTTTCTTTGTTCTATTAATTTTCTCATAGCTGCTATCTACTGTATTCACATAACAACCACTATCAAGCTACTAAAACAGTTTTGAAGTATATTAAATCCCCCATTTTAGAACAACAAGGAAAGGGTTTTACTAAATAAATACATAAAGCTTCTCATAGATCATGCAATAAGGAAACTGAATATAGAGCTGAAGTTCCCAGCACTTGGGAGGACAAAGGAGCAGTTTACTACAGAGATTTTCCCCAACACCCAGAGTCTGATAGTCCTTAGAGGAAATAATAAATCTTTCTCTTTGTCACTCTTCTCTTCGTTTCTTTTGTTGTTTAGGAATAAAAAAAAATTAAAAGTGTAGGTACTACTTACAAGGCAGCTTCCTTGATGTTTCTGGTAGTCCAACCAAGGGACAAGACTGTGTGTATAGGAAGGGGAGATGAACAATTCACCCTGTAAAGGAATTAAAAATAAAAGTGGAAATCCTTTGTAAGAAGAGTGGTGGGGATTAGAGCTGCATGCTTTCACTAATGACTTTACAAACATTTAGCCAGAGATAACCCAGAAATCCAGTTGCACTTTATTTAATATTCAGATAAGGACCATTCACCTGCTGTTAAGCTACAACATCTACAATCATTCTTTGAATACTGATAATTATATGAAGCAGACTCCCCTAGAGGCTGGTAGTCTAGTCTGGATTCACCTGGAATACAAAGATGAATAATATTGCATATTACATGCACCCAAGTAGTGGCAATTTATAGAAGAGTCCATTTATACTCCTGAAAAAAAGATGTGTATTCCCCTAGGGGCACAGTGTATGGTGATAAAAACCTGTGTGTGGGGACAGTTTGGATTGTAACTCCTAGCTATCCTGTTGATTAATTAATAAACAAATAAATCCTTACATTTAGCCAGATCTCTCACTCTGAGCCCATAAAAGAGAAAATGTTAAAAAAGAATTTTGTGTGGCTCACCATAAGGAAGGGTTACTCAGAGACACCAGAAATGAGTACGAGAAGTGGCATCCAAATGGCTCAGAGTCCATGTGTGTGTGTGTGTACATTTTTAAAAGATGAGTAGCATTAGGAATCTGCTCCCTTCTCCTCCTCCTTTCCTCCTCTTTCTCCCATCAGGTGCCTTGTCCTTGTTCTCCCCTCTCGTTTGCTGATGGCTGATAACACCTTATCTCCACCAGGGAAGCAACTGGGAAGTTTGCTCCTTCCTCACAAGACTGAGGGTATAATTAGAACCACGCACCTGCTCAGTCCTCCAGTGACTCAGTTAGTCTACATCCATGTCAAAATCCATGCTGTGAGGGTAATTTGATCATCTCACTTACTTTTTTCATATGCTTTATATGAATAAACCACCAGAACAAGCCTCCGTTGAGTTGGTTCAGATTAATCTCACAAATTTGTGTCAACTCTTTGTTGCCAGAAGAATTTTATCATTTGATCTCATGGTTACACTTTAGTAGACTTTAGTACATATTTTATTTCACTCTCCAGAATATAAAATTCCATTCTTGTGTCAAAATCATCTCTTTATTATTATCTATTTATATTTCTGTGATACTTACAGGCTTCAGCTGAGATCAGAGTCTTGTTGTACGAGACAACAGAAACAAGCAATAAAAGAATTCTGGTCACAGGAGCCTTGTAAGCTGAATAAAGGCTGGGAGAAAGGAAATATTGCCCCCATTTTACAGATGGGAAAGTAAAGCTCTGATAATCTTTCTGTATAATGCAGAGCAGTGTCATACAGTGATAGTGAAGAGTGGGTTCTGAAAAAGCAGCAAAGTCCAGAAACTATCCAAAATAAAGGTGGATTTAAACCCTGATATACTGGCATTTAAACCCTAATGTACTGGCAAGCATCCATATAAGTTCAAGTAAGTTATAGATGTACACTGCTTTCATTTGCACATTCAGCATCCCAGGGCTCCCTTGGCCTTCTCCATCCCTCTTCATCTCCCAGACCTCCCTTCAAAGGCAGCTGACACCACTTTTTGATGCTGCCTTCTTAGGCTCATAAGAGTTAGTTCGCCAGTGCTTCCTCTTGCATTTTAAAAAAAATTTACCTTGAGCCCTGCGATGCCACAGGGGTGTCAAATCTCTCTGACTGCAGCAGGCTCAGCAGAGATACATCAAGGCTCTCTTAGACTCTCCTTCCCAACATGTGAAGGGCAATGCAATCTTTTTGTCCTTGAACTGAGCCTGGAATCTCCTGCATTAGAATTCTTTCCCTCTGCTGCTGCCAGAAGCCCCTGCAAGATCCCAGGAAAGCTGTGGCCAGCCTAGGACGTTCACTCATGACCAAAGCAGCAGAGCAGCCCTTGGGTGTTCCCTGGAGACAGCAGGAAGGAGAGGAAATGGTAAGTTCACCATCTCCCTTTCAGAGATGACTAAATATAGGAGGGGAGCCTGCCAGGAGAGGGGGTGTGGGTGGAGCAGTGTGTGCAGAGGGGCTTGTGCTCCCCTCAAACCTGCTGGGCTCTGCTTGGGGTGCCCAGCTCCTGAGCTGAACTCCCCACCATCCCCACTGTGCCACTGCAGCACTGCCTTCTGACTAAACACCAGTTCAGACTAATTGTCAAGGATCAGATAACAGGAAAATATTTCTATTTGACAGTCTACTATTTTTCAATTGTTCCTCTGTTACATATCTAAGTAAACATTTGTTCCACTTATCATTTCTGAGCAAGAGACATGAATCATTTGACTAGTAAAACCACAACGACAGCTGTTGCTTATTAGAAACAGTCATCTTGTTCAAGGGCCTGCTATGGAGGAGTTCTTCAGGAAACTGTTTCTGCTTTTAGTGCTTTGCAGTGCAATGAAAGCAAAGTTGTAGAAATTAGGGCATTTCTGTTTCACTGATGTGATTGGCAAAACACCCAGGCACATACACACACATGGAACAATCATTACAGCTGAGCTACAAGCCCCCAAGAAACAGGAAAATAGCCACTTAAGAATACTACTAATGATATAATACTTATGGTCTTTGTGGCTTTTACACAGAACTCTACATTACAGTGAAACAAAAGTAGATTTAAGGGTCCCTTGGTAAGCAGGTTGTATGTTTGGGATTTTGGTGTTGGATACAATATTTATACAAGTTATTATGCATGTTACAGAAATATGTTTTGCCATTCATGGTTTTTCCAGATCTCAGGAACCAATTAACCTTGGCTTCATAAAATCCCTGGAAGCCAGTCATCAGTGGTCACTACTACATTACTCTCAGAATAAGCTTCTTGAGGCAGTGATTTTAAAAAAGAAGAATTTAAAAAATTCTGGCCAGAATACAAAAAGCAGAGACAGCAACAAAATACTTTTTAAATTAGTGGAAACAAAATAGAAGAAAAAAAAACCCTGGACCATAACAAAATCAAAAACAATTAAGTAAAACAGATTCAGGTTAGACATGAGGATTTTTCCCTTCCTGGAGTGCTGGTTCAAAAGCATTATAGATCATACAGGCCAAAATCTGATTGTTTCTGTGACCTGTGTGGAACAAAATTGTGTTAAACAGAGGCCTAAAGGCTGGTCATTTTATCAGACAAAATCACTGGAATGGTGTACCCTGTATGATGCCCCTATTGTCAGCTTAGAAGGGAGAAGCCAAAGACTAAATGAGCACAGAGACTGTGCTGATCCCAGCAGAGCAGAGGGGAGGAACCTTGGCAGGGCAGTGAGAGAGACTACCAAGGAATCTGCTCAGGTAAATAGAAGAGTTTGTTGCTTGTGGCTGTTACTTAGATACCTTTAAAACCTGCAAAATTAATTTTCAAACACTAAAGAAGAAATAGATTAAAAAAAATAATTTTAAAGGATTGTTGGAGTATGGCAAAAGAAAAGGAAGGCAGAGCAGGAAAGCAGTGAAGAGAAGCATGTCACTGAGGAGGCAAAGCTGAGGTTTATTATGGGTTAGAAATCTGCAAAACTGACACCAATTCAATAATAGCATCCAAGGAGGTTTCCAGAGATCATATCCTGCCCTTCCTTCACCCTCACAGCACTCACTGATGGAGTCAGCACTTCACTGCAGCTGGGTATTTAAAGTCATTTGTTCTGGGTAACATGCCTGTTCTTACTAATCTTAGTCAAGTAAGTAGTCCATCCTCATGTGTCATCCCACCAAGTCAAATGTGCTATTAGCATAAGTGATGATTACTTATCCCTGGGAGGTCCTGTGAGGTTGGGGCTCCCAGCAGCAGTGCACTTGACATGGCAGTCTTTCTATTGTAATTTAATAAAACGGGGCCCAATTCGGTTCAGAGGTGCCTTGAGGAATAAGCTAGACTTAAATGGTGTTTAGGCCTTTGACTGGACCTCTGAAAAGCCTTTGTTCATTGAGTGAATGCTAATTAGTCAGAGGAGGGTTATTAAATTATAGACTCGGTTCTTCATCACTGCTCGGAGCACGGTACCTCTGCAAGTGCCTGAGCAAAAGGATGCAAATCTGAACACACACAGAGGGAAGTTAAGGCATGATTGCTTTCCTTGGTAAACACAGGGAGTGCAGAAATGTCATTAATAAGCAGGACAGAGAATCTGTACATGTAAGTGGGTAGATTTTGCTCCAGAAGAATGAGATGCACTAAAAAAGGATGGAATATGACACTGTGGAAAGCTGCATCTCCAAGCTGCACTGGGATGGATCCAGAGAGGTGGATGGAAAAGGCCTGATCCAGAACCCAGCCAGTGGAAATCTGAGTTTGGTGGGCTCTGATCTTTGGGAAGCACCCTCAGACACCCTTGGCAGGGCAGTGTCAGTGGCACACTCAGTGTAACACCAAAAACTGATCAGTTACCCCAGGCAGATGCCCAGGGCAAGAAGGAATCAACCAGTTCATGTTCTGTGCCATGGCCCTCCTATGGAGCAGGAGCCTGATTGCTGCATGGATACATCAGGAAGACATTTTACATGGGTTTAATGGGCTACAGGTATTTCTAAGAGCTGACAGTCTTGCTTTTTGGAGTTCTCATATCTTTTTGCTTTGTACCTAATTTCTGAGCAGCTCTCAGCCTCAGAATGGCTCCTATGTTTGTTCTGATCCTACATCTTTCACAGCATTTACAGAATTTGTAACTACTGCAGCAATTCCTTGGGACCTTTGTGATCATCTCCTCAATTCATCCTTCTCCTGATTCCCAAAATGTAGTAGATGTAGGAAAATTTTAGATTATAACTTTCTAACCAACAAGCTCTCAGCTCTGCTCTTTGCTACATGTGATCTGCTAGAGCTGCAAAATGCATGCGTGGTCTTCTATGTGACCCCAAAAGGTTTGTTGGTTTGTTTTTATTAAAAAACAAAAAACAAACAAACAAACAAACAAAAAACCCACCAAAAAAATTAGGTATTTAGGAAGGATTTAATTAGTGCTACAAAAAATATACTCCAGCTGTTAGATACAGAGGGCTTGGCACAATAGATCACAAATAGTAGACTCATTCTAACATTTGATCTTTGCTTTGCTGGCTGTATCTGTTTAAACAACCTGCAGTTTGTATGCTGCTGCTCTTCAGCTTTCCAGCCAGGTGTTTGTGAAGGATTGAATTTATTCAATTAGTACATAAATGTTTGCCAAATTATGTATGCTAAGGGCATACATGCAGGTCAATCCTGTACCATCACACATACGAAGTTCATTTTACACAATGTATCACTTGGAATTCTGGGGGAAAGACTTAAATCTGAATATTACAGCAGATCTTCACTAGATTAACAAAAATGAATCATCATTGTGGGTATCACTGACAAACAGTGCTAGGAAAAATTTTTTTTAGTTGTCTGGACAGCTTAAGTTTTTCTCCTGTTAGGTTTGTAATCAAGTTCAGATATTTTTAGAGTTTTGAGGCTTTTGCTGTCTCATGCCCTTGTACAGCCTAAGAACATGCCCATACTTTAGCCAGCTGTAGTCCATATGAAGTCAATAGAATTTTCATGGATGAAATTAAAAACCTTTGGAAAAAGCTTGCTTGATCAGATTTTAAAAGATTTCAAGATCTGTATATTTTCACCATCATGTTTAAAATAAGCATTTTTTTTATTTGCCAGCAATCCAAGGACCTGATTTTATTTTGATTTTCCCATTAGCCTGGCAGTTTAGCCAGTAGAAGCCTTTTATTCCTCCCACTGGAGTAACAGAGAGAAATTAATTTGATTCTAGTGGATAGTTGTTGATTTCATTATCATATTATAGAAAATAAAGATTACAATTCCAAATGATTTTGCCTGTAGTCCATGCACTAACCATGTAAATGGCAATATGTGGAAAAGTTGACTACATCATAAAAAATT